GTTGAGTTTTGATACATCCGGAGTTTTGCGTGGATAATTACGTACGCAAGGTTTTTGTGCGTACGCACCATTGATACATGTGGCCCCAGATGTTTACAGACTGATGTTAAACATTGATCCAGATGTTACACAGAGGGAAACATCATCATCTTTAAAGAGGCGTGTTGTTGACATTAAATTTCATATTACCTGTTTATATTATTATAATTATTTTACAATTTTTTAGTTTAAAGATTTAATAAAATTAAATTGTTGCTTAATTAAAATATAAGATTGTGAGGTTTTCATATCATTGCATTCTGTTACATTTTACAGAATGTCACCGCTTACTGGGTTTTCATATGTTTTATGTCACAAATCTCTTTGTGTTCGATTCCTAGCAGTAATAATTTCAGACAGCAGGGGGCAGCACAGTTCCTGAGCTGATAAAATGCAGTAACTGTGGCAACAGCTGCCGTGGTAACAGGCATCTCTCTCCTCTCTCTTTTGTCAGTCAGGAAGAGCTGGCTGTCAGTCAACTATAACCTCCTTCTCTCCAATCTGAAAAACACCACTGCAGTTTGATTTAAAGCAACACRTCAGGTTCTTTCTTCTTCCACAAACTACAGCTGAGCTGCCTTTTATGTTAAGATTTAAAAATCTTCATAATGACAGCACCTTTTTTCCRCAGGTACTGGCATGGTGTCTGCAGGCACCTGAGGTGTGAGTCAGTTGGAGAACGTCCTCTCTCTTCCACAGGCATTAGTTTGAATAGATGAGCCATGAATTATATATGAAGCTCAGGGCTTTGCTCATTTTGCAGGGGCTTTAAAGCAACTTACTGAGTTGGAGAGTTTCTGCACCGAAGCCCAGGATTCAGGATTCATTGGATCCTCAGGTTCTTTTTTCCACCCGTCCATGATCATCTGTGTGAACAGCAAAGAAATCTGCTTTAAAATTTTTGCATTAGACAAACAGGTTGTWATTCTACAGTTGACTTGTTTAAAAATACAACAGGATCATAGCAGTTCATGTCCATTCAAACTCTGTCAAGAGGAGCTGAACTGAGGTGGAGCCTACATAATGAACCTCTGTATAAAGAGGAGGGGGCGGAGTCAAAGCTGACGCCAACAGACAGGTGACAAGGAATCAAAGAACTGAACAAACAAACAAGACCACTCGGACACATACAGATGTTCATCATGATGATTCAGATCATTTTTATTTAATTTTATTTGTTTTACCTTTATTTATCCAATTGAGAGCATAGTTCTCTGTTGCAAAAGGAGGCCTGGGCCTGAAAGAAAACCTGTTGTACATGTATTTGGTTTATGAGAAAAAAACAGAGTACCAACAGAAAACCCACACAAGCATGAAGGTAACATGTAAACTCTACACAGAAAAACCCCGAGGTGAGCTGGGGATCAAACCCATGACCTTTTTGATGTGAGGCATCCGTGCTAACCACTGAGCCGTCGTGCTGCAATAGTTTGTACAGCAGCGTGTGGAGCAGAATGACTGCTGTGTATACTCCAGGTGGGAGAAGTGTCAAAGAATGCTTCAGTGTTTGTATATAGTGACTTCAAAACATCTGCATTTACTGTAGGTCTGAGAGGTGAAAACTAAAACACTACCGACTGAAATCTACAACAATACATACTGAAAACTACTAAACTTCCTACTGGAAACTACAACACAAACCACTGGAAACTACAGTTATACCTACTAGAAACTACAGCACTACATACTGGAAACTACAACCCTAACTACAGAAAACTAAAACACTACCTACTGAAAACTACAACGCTTCCTTCTAGAAACTACAACATAACCTACTGGAAACTACAACACTTCCCATTAAAAACTAAAACACTACCTACTGAAAACTACAACACTTCCTACTAGAAACTACAACACAATCTAATGGAAACTACAACAGTACCTACTGGAAACTACAACCCTACCTACTGGAAACTACAACCCTAACTACAGGAAACTACAACACTATCTACTGGAAACTACAACCATAACCACTGGAAACTACGACACAACCTACTGGAAACTACAACCATACCTACTGGAAACTACAACACTACTTACTGGAAACTACAACACTACTGAAAACTACAACCCTTCCTACTGAAAAGTACAACACTACCTACTGGAAACTACAACACAATCTACTAGAAACTACAACACAACCTACTGGAAACTACAACCATACCTACTGAAAACTACAACCATACCTACTGAAAACTACAACCATACCTACTGAAAACTACAACCATACCTACTGGAAACTACAATTCCACCTACTGGAAATTACAACTCTTCCTACTGATCTGTTGGTTAATAGATGAAATTATTTGTAAACACTTGTCAGACGTAAACTCTTTGTTGAGGCTAATCTGACCACAGAGGYTCGTCTGATACTTCCTGTTCTTTCTTCTCCTGTCAGGAGAACAAACTGCAGAGATTTTATTCTACCGTTGAAGGGTGGAGTTCTACAGATGTGGACAATCTTACATGTGACTCAGCGTGTTCACCTCCAACCTATTCTGCTGATTCACCTGCCTGCACGCTGACCAGACCCCATGAAAATCTCCTCCACTCCATCTGAACATTCAAGGTGTCCCTCCTTGCTCATAAGAGCGACTGCAAACCCAGAACATTTCACTGTTGCCGGGGTAACAAGCTTCCCTTTCCTCTCACACATGAAATACAAAGTTAAGGTTCTGCACAGATCCTGTGTTTCCCCTTAAAGATGGATCATTTCCTACAGAACCAGACCACAAGAACATGTGACCAAATCCATTCTAATTGCTTTGATTAATAATTAGTTTAGACAGCTCTGGAGTTAGTGTGAAATGATTCCATGTGTGGTGTACTGTTGTTGTTTTTCGCTTTTCTTATATCTTTTTTTTAATAAACACCATAGTGTGTCACATTTGTTGATATAATATGATGTTTTGTTTTGTTTTTTTTTTCCCCTCATCTTCCCTTAAGTGGTTTTTAGTTTTTCTTTTAAAGGTTGCACCTGCTCATGATGTCTTCATGAAGATGATCCTTGCTCTGTGCAGGGTCAGTGGCAGCATGACCCAGAGCACCTGTTCTCCTATGTTTGTTATGTTCTGTCTTCTTCTGAATGGGTGTTCTGAACTGGAATTTCAATGTGCTCTGTACAATGACAATAAAGGTCTATCGTATCTTATCTTATCTTATCTTAACTTATCTTATCTTATCTTATCTTATCTTATCGTATCTTATCTTATCTTATCTTATCTTATCTATCTTATCTTATCTTATCTTATCTTATCTTATCTTATCTTATCTTATCTTATCTTATCT